CATAGCAACTCATCAATAACTATAAAAGAGCCCTGCTTAGGACCTGTAAAGATGCAGTGTTATGGCACGGGAAACCTCACTTCAATTAAAGATAAAATATTATTTATCCAAGTATAGTTGCTAGCAGTACAACAGAATGAAAGCCATTATTTATCTCTTTCCTCACGTTGCTGAAATCATTCACCGTATCATCAATTTTAATTTTATAGGATCTTCCTGCAGAAGGAACCCTACATCATGCCTCAAAAACATAGTGCATATGGAAAGCACAGGGAAGACAATTGATGCATGGCAAGAGAGACATCAAATTACCACTTAAATGTTGCCCATGCAGACACATCAGGAGGTATTGTTGAACCACAGTCACTTCTGAATGTCTGGTTCTCCTGAATTTTAGGAGCTATAACAATTTACATTATATCTAAATTCATCTCTAGAGCTCAGACATGTTTTTAAGATGCTGCGGTAATTTCCATTATTTTGTATTCGTTCTAAAGCTCTGGGCACATAGGCTGGAGGAAAACAACCTACATTTCACAAAACAAGTCAGCTGTGCTGCTGTCTGAATGATCTGTGCAGATCATGCCAAATAAAAGTACTTAGACCTAGAGCGAGTTGGATGAGCCTGTCCCCAGCGACCTATTTCCAGACCGGGTGGGACCCAGAGCACATCCTCTCCATTTTAAGCCTCCGGAGTCAGTACAAGCCAAGTTACAGATAGCGCCTTTGCAAGAGGCTGAAGTGGACGCTTAACAGCCGCGAAGGGGGCAATGCTCTCTCTGTGAGGGTGAGAATCGCTCTCCAACTCGTTATGCAAATACGAGGCTTGCAAAAGAAACCAGAGGATTGGGCTTCCATGCGCGTGTTTCCAGTGCCACCTGCTGTACAGAAGAGGCAGATTCAGAAGCTCCAAGGAACGAAGCCGGAAAATTCTTCCCCGCCCACCTGGGAGCACAGTAACTACCGAAATTAAACACGGAGACATTTACATTTTCAGTAGTTCAACAGCATACCGAGTTGTGTGTTAAAGACACCCACATGTGCCAAACACTTCTAATTTTACAAAGAAAGTACAGCAGCTTCACTTTGAGTTTTCCATAAATTCATACAGCTTCTGGGATGACATTTAATGGATGAAAAAAACATCCATTGTTACAAAAAAAAACAACAGGTCCGATGGGATTTCCAGTTCCACTGGCTACGCCACACTACAGTCCACGTGTCACGGCCACACTGCATGCACCTGGGGATGCACCTCTTGCTCCCAAATAACTCTGCTTTATCCAATAACATGTACAAATGACTGCTACAGACTCTTGCCAGGACTGTGCTTTTCATATTGTTTCAAGAGCTCACCAGATATAAAATTCATAAATTGGATTTTCTTGTCCATAGGTCCAAACTCAAATGTTAAGAGCAAATTTTCTTTTTAATTAGCAGTCCCCTTGATGGCTGCCAAAGCCACACAAAGCCATTGATCAGAGCTGAATTGGAACTGCTGACCTAGAAGAGATGCCTGGATTTCATTCTTCTTTCCAGCTGTGGCTAGAAAGTTACTTGATAAATTTCATTGAGGGGTTTTCCAAGGGCTGCAAATCAGCATGATTATCTAGTGCGCACAGACTTTCATTAGGCAGAAGACAAGGCCTTATCAGCTTCCCTAATAGATGTACGGCGCTGTTCTGCCAGATCTGATAAGCGCTGTGGTGGCAGAGCGGGGCCTCAAACTTCAAGCAGCTTCCCCCTGCCGATGCCCACACCGCTGGCTCCAACCCAGGCAGGCAGAGAGCTGCCCTGAGCCAGACCAGGCAGCCCTGCTCGCCTCGCAGGCAGCTCTGGAAGGAGCCTTTGTCTAGCTTGACGGAAAATAATGATCCCAGGAAGGAGACGGTGCTCTGGTTTATCCCAGTTACATCTAGCAGCTGACCTGTGCTCCCTTCCCTGCTGTACCAGAGGCCAGCTGGAGCAGCACAGCCGTTCTTCTGCTGGTTCTGCCACTTCTCCTCATTGCACGTCCAGGTTTTGCTCAATTGTTTAGGTCAGGGGTTTCAAGCCAGGAGAAGCAGAACGTCAGCGTGGTGAGTTATGCTGGGTTATGGGCTCAGCACAGTCAGCCGGCAGCATGGAGGGCTGGCGGCTGATGTTTGCTTCTGCATTTGTGGTCAACCTGATTCAAAGTTTTAGGCATGATCTTGTGCTGCGGGTGTAGCATCAAAGACAGCTTCCCATCTGCAGCTGCTTCTGTAACTGATTTCATTATTCTCTTCTGTGATCAGAATTAGAAGTCCATGACATACCTACAAGAAGCAGTGAAGGTGCTTGGACAGAAAAAAATCCCCAATCACCTTTCCATCAGTCCAGTCCTGCAACCAGGTGAGCAGCCTCACAAAAGCACCATGTTCTCAGCTGTCTTTTTGCATCTGTACAGCTCAAAGGCAAGTTGAGTAGCGTGCCTTCGTTCTGCAGTCTGAGTTTCAAGGAACTTGTTAAAACTAAAGTTTTCAACAAAATTTTCCTATTTGATTGAGGTTGCTGATAGGAATTTTTTGACAGTTATTCACCAAGAGAAGTTAAGATAATCAGGCTAGCTTTCTGCTCTTCTTAAATGAGACTATCTGTGAAACTAGTGAGATAAGTTATTTGTTGCATTCCTGATGTTTAATTTCAGTCTTCCTGGCTGACTTTCTCATATCAAGCCCAAATCACTCGAGTCCATACAGGATGCTCTTTAGACTATGTGGATAGTCACTCGAAGACAAAAATCCCACACATGGTTACATGAAATTTGTCTGCCTAATGGCCATGCATGAGAGATTCCCATGTTTGGAGTAGCATGAGGAGTTTTCTTGACTGATGCTGTTGATGAGCTGTGTTATAACAGCAAGGGAGAGCTGGAAGCAAATGAATTAAAGACCCAAGCAAACCATTAATGCCTTCTGAAGAAGAGAAAAGGAAAGATCACTTCCAGGTGAGAAAATTAGTCAAGCCTATAAGCAGTTACATATGTAAAGAAAACAGCTTAATTTAGCAAGTAATCTAGTAATAAACTTCTAGGAGGTAAAATGCTCTAATGATTATTTTTATTTTCCTCTTATGCCTGGATTCATGTTTGATTAGATTTTCTGTAGTTCATAAGAAAAGGAAGAGCAACACAGTTTCCAAGTGCCATTCATCCTGTGCATCTCTGTCTATAGAGCCTGGAAAATTAGGATCCTGATTTGAGCAACTCAAGTTCAAAATTATATGGAATAAGACTGAGCTGTAAATTTGTGTACACAGCTTATCATAATTGCAGCTACTTCTGGAATAAATTATGGCGAGTGTCTTAAACATGCTATGGCTGAACTGAAACACGTTCTTCAGCTAAAATTGGAAGAGCTTCCTGTCCAGAAAGCACCACCCAAACTCAAGATCAGACTTAATGGCCTCTTGGGAAAAGGATTTGCAGTATTTGGTTTTACATTTCACCTGATGAGCAAGGCTTCCAGCAGTCGAACATTATGAAGCATGTCACTTAAGGATTTGGTCAGTCTCAGCTGTAAAAGTGAACAATTAGGTCAATTGCTGCCCTCCAAGTCCTGGACTTAAATGGTTGTTTCTACAGCCCTCACATTTTGAGCTATAAGAACTAGGGAAGCAGCTCTTGCAATGAGGTCTATTATGAGAAGTTTTTCAAAGCTGTCTGGAAGTTGTTTCTCTCCCATCTGATTTTAGAGTCCAGATTATTTGGGCAAGTTTCCATATTCTGGCTGGAATATTCCTCTGTTAATTCAAAACTCACCCATCTGCTAGGTATACAAAATATTTATATACATCTTTAAAAGGTATACCTAAATTGCTTGTTTAACTGTCATCATTGTCTCACACTACTCAAAGTTTAACTTTAAATCTCTTGGGGTTGATACTTCTCTGTATGTGAGGCACTGTCAAGGATTTCACACTGCATGAAAGACCTGTGCATAGATGGTGGGCTGCTTTTGCTGCACACTTAGTTTGGTCAGGATCATAACAAATCCATTAAAAAAATATATTAAAAAAATAAAAAATCATTTCCAGCTGTGCTAGAGTGCTATGAATTCACAATTTAGTTTTGTGTTGCACCAGTTGTTGCTTCATGTCACTTCCCAAATACTCATGAATTTGCAGGTAGCTTAAACTAACTTTTTATCATACTGTAATACAAAACGCTTTTATTAAAAAGAATACATTCTCCCTTGTGTTGGAGGCTATGCATACATTGCAGAAAGTAGTAACTTCAAGCTTCTCAAAAGCATAATTGTTTTCTGTTTGCCTAGTTCTGTGTTATCATCACTAAAAGCCCTAACAGCAAATACTTAAATCACCCAGGCTTTGATATGGCCACACACATTAAGCCTTATCTCGGCTTTTCAGCAGGCGGAGCACTTGCACAGTATTTGTGCTGAAGGGAAGCACCGCAGCGTAAACTGCCCTTTTAAGGTCAGGGAGCAGATTCAGGTGAAGAAACTGAAAGCAGCGGGTTAGCTGGCATCTGCAAGCAGGCTACAAGCCAGCACCAGGTCAAGAAAATAAGCCTCCAGTTCCTGTCTGCAGGCCACAAACTTCTGTTACTGAACCCACAGCCCCGCCAGAAACTTGCCTTAGCTGATGAGAAATATGCAGCTGCAGTGCTTAAAAACAGCAGGAGCAGGGCTCCACAACCACGCAGATGGGGCTGTGTCAGCAGGGTACTGCAGGAAGGAGCAGGTACCCCTGCAGGACCAGTGACACCAGAGCAGGCAGCACCACACACGTTAGAGGGAGCTGAGGGCACGTCGCAGGCACCCACGTTCCCAAGACACACACCATGCTTCCCAGGTTCTCCCACTGCCCTTAGCTTATATCAGCCTTTCCCTCACGCCTTGTGAGAAAACAAAGCAAAACACCTGTATATTTATTGCTCACCCCATCAGAAGGGCTTCTCTAACACTGCTTCATCCAAGCGAACAAAATGCCTGGGAAACTCAGTTTGGAAACCTTACCATCGTTCAAGGAGCAGCCCAACATAGCTCTCCCTCTCAGTCCAATCTTTCTGCTGCCACCCATCTGCCTCTTCTAACCTCCCCAGCAGGTTAATCAGGCTGTTCAGCTGACTTTGATTTGCCACCCAAAGCATTTGGACACTCCTTCGCTCTTCCCAGCAGGTGGCTGCCGTGTAGCCCATGCTGAGGTCACACAGTCCTGTGGGCATGTTCCCTCTGCAGCTTTGAGGTTTGCAATGATTTGCAAAGCAACAGTCGGTCTGGTGGGAAAAGAAACTGCTCCGTTATATCTCCTGTTACAGTGAGAGTGGCGGAGGGATTGTCTCTGTGCATGTACTAATGTAAGAGAGGCTGTGTGGCCAAGCCTCTGTTCACAGGAACCTCAATAAATGTTTCATGCTCATTCGTGACAACCTCCCTGCTCTTTTCTGTTAAATAAATGCACTTGAGTTTAATTCTCATTTGATTTTCCTGCTGTGAAAGCCCTCTGATTTCAAAATCAGGTTGAGGAAATGTCTGAGGAGAGGCCAGCTTCTTGCCCACATTCCCCATGCTGAGCTGTTCAGGATGATGCTCGTGAGCCCCAAGATGCTGGGCAGGGACTGTGGGCAGATCGAGGCACCACTGATGGCTGCTCCAGTTTGTGCTGGGCATGGCATGTTGTCCTTGGCTGAAAATAGGCTAAGTGGGAGGAATGAAATAGTATCTGTGTCTGACATGTGGAGAATGTCAACGGTTGTTCCCTGAGCTCAAAGCCAGGGCAGATCTGTCCCCTCTCCCGATTTGAGCGGACAGTGGGGGCAGTGCACAGAGGTCTCCCTGGCACAGACCCCCAAAGCCTTTTGCTCTCCCCAGTGACTTTGCAAGGTCATGCAAATTGCTCAGTTGACATGTATTTGAATTCTGGCAGGAGGGAACAAAACCAGGTTGAGCTTGTCTTGAAAAATGTACATTTCCATTACATTTTTTTTTATAACAACCATAGATTTTTAGAAGGAAGGAAGAAGGAAGTGACTTCACCTTGGACTGCACTTTGTTTCAACCAGAGATGGGCTTTGGTGACACAGATACTGACTCAGGGCTGGCTCACTATTTGCTGGATGAGAGCACAATCTGGGTCTGGTAGCTGCTGTGTACACTTCACAGCTGGCAGCAGCCACCGTGGGAGGAGCAGAGCACACATGTTTAACCAGACAGCTGGCCGTTCTTGCATGTTTTGCATGGATTTATTTCTTTTCAGTGGTGATGTGAAACAATAATCAGAGCTAACAACACCACACGTACACTGGTCCAGTTAAAGCCATATAACGCATGTAGACAAAATCAGGAGAGAATCTGCCCTGTGACCACAGAGTGCCTTACTGCCCTGAATGTCTTGTAATCACCCTTACCAGCAAATACAACTGTGCCCAGTGTCACCAGGGAGAACCTGAACTTTGCATGCTTTGTTTTGTTGCTCCTCTGCCACTCCTGGTGGAAGCAGGGGAGTCTGAGGAACAGCGCCCACGCTGCTCACCCATCGCTACAGGGACCCCACACCCCTCCGCTGGGCTTGTTCCCTCCCCAGCATTTTGTTCTTACGCGTGCCTGTTGATGGGTTTTCTCCCCCATCACAAAAACATTAGAAAAATAACACTGGCAAATAGCTTTGTTTGTCATTCAGCCTGAGCTATGGGGAAAAACGCACCAGACAGGCTTCCTCTGCACAATAATGGCTTTTTCTTAGTGTCCTGGGAGGAAGAGAGCTGGGAAATTAGAGGGATTTGAAATGGTGCCTGAGGAACTTGAGAGAGAAAATCCAATTTCATAGTTCACTCAGAGAGGATGTCCGTAAGGCAGCCAAGATGCCAGAGACTGAAGCTCTGTGGTAAACGAAGCTGTTTTAGAGAAACCAAATTGCTGCTTGTTCATTTTCATTTTATGAAATTGTTTGTTTTCCATACCACACATGGTCTGCGACTGACAGGAACAGGTTTTAGTTCTAACTCTGACACTGCATGGCTTATATTAGGCATACGCTGACTCCAACCCAGACAGAACAGGTCACTTGATGGAAACTCCGATGCGTGGGGAACAGATGCTGGATCCTTGCCTGCTGACCTGGTCCTAGCGTCACTAAGACCAGCAGAGATGTCCTGATCTGCACCTTCTTACACTCTGGTACTCTTCTGCTTTGGATCGTAACTTTATTTGATCTTACCCACCTCAGTAACAGCTCAACCCCAGTCTATGCCATTGAGTGGTTTTCACAGGGGTATAAAGACCCCAGACTGTCCCCAGGGAGCTCAGCTAAAGCTGTCCCTTCATGGACATACATAATATAATACACATACAGACACAAAATATGTTATTTATTGTGAATTTTGCAAAGACACATTTAAGCAACAAAATATACATTTGTGAACCTTTAGTTTTATACATAACAAATACAATCTGCTACCATAGCAATAAATTAAATGTACATTATTTACAACAGACAGGCCACCAGGAACTACAAAGCACCGCCTCTCTACATAAAAAATAAACTTTTGTCAGATACATTTCTTCAAGATTTTTTTTCACTCTATAAACTCTCTTCACATTCTAATGATATAAATTCAGCATTTTCCTTTGCAGGGTATACGCAGTGCTACATTCATTAAAACATAATGAAAGCATGCTCTAAGATTCAGAAATGAGAGCTTCTTGACCAGCTCTAGTGGACAGAGTCGGAACATAAGCAAAGCAGCATGAGTGCGAGGTGTGATCTGCAGAGGTGCCGAGCTCTGACTGCCTTTAAGAGCAGTTATCAGTGCTAACCACCTCCTGCAGTCAAGACAAAGACAGCCGAGAAACCTCTGAGCCAGATCCTCAGTTGGGGTTAACAAGCCCAGTTATGTCAAGGAAGTATCCTGGCCCCTTCAGCTGCCATTCCTGAAGACCCCCAAAACGCTGGAAAGAAGCTGGACCTGTGCTTAGCACCCCCACCTCCACCCAGAAAAAAAAGCACTTTCACGTTGTGCTTGAGCGTGTGCTTGGCTTGGGGAGCTCTCAAGGAGGCCGGTGGTGCCGGCGCCTCCCGCGCACCCTCGCCCTTAGGACAGGCCCTGCTGTGCCCCGGGGGGCTGTGGGGTGGGCAGGGATGTGCATGAGGGACTGAAACACGTCCCCAGAGCCTTATGGTGTGCATGGCACAGCCCTGAGCCCCAACACTGGGCCTGGGAGGCAGACCTGGGCCTGGGCTTGGGCCTGATCCTGCCCCCAGCAGGATAGCCAACAAGTCTGTGCCAAGCAGGAGGCAGGGTGCAGCAGGAGTAACCAGGGCACCTGAAACCCAGGGGAAAAAGGAGAGCAAACACCCGGACAGCAGAGACCTGTCCTACACGGCCGGGAAATCCCACTGAGCCTCCCCAAGCTGCAGTCCTACCTCCGGCGTTCGCTGTGCAGCATCATTTCTGAGTTTGGTGTGAGCTGCGGGCATGTAAACAGTGCAGACGGGACAGGCAAACCGCTGCCCTGAGGCTGACACCAGGCATCCCCGCTGCAGCCCCGAGCCCTGGGCTGCAACTGCTGAGCCCACGGAGCAGCAGTCCCGAGGCCTCCTGGGCAGCCCCCGGCAGCCCCATGCTGGGCTCCCTGCGCCGCAGAGCACCAGCACCAGCAGCGGGCAGGAGCTGCCGAGCTCTGACGTGCACTGCCCCACCAGTTAGTGTCAGCGAGGGATCCTTTCTGTTATATATATATATATACGTATATGTATGTGTGTCACATGTAAGCACAAAACATTTTGCGATATATATGCAGGAACATCTTCACCCACTGCTGGAGTGCAAATGCCTCCGAGGTTGAACACAACTGCTCAGCAGTCCCCAGCGCTGCTGCAGGGTGACCTAGGACAATCCCAGAACTGAAAGGCTGCTGCACAGGGCTGCAGGGCGGGGCAGATAGGCAGAAGCCACACTAGAGCTTGGCTAGGACAGGAGCTTTAAAAGCCCATTGTTATTTAGGAGCTGGTTTTACAGCCAGTTGTGAGCAGCACTTTTGAAACTGTCCCAGGAAGTATAGGAGCAGCTGGCAGACCTTGTCTGCCCGGCCCTGCTGCCCTCCCAGCTGGCTGGAACGGCTCAGGACACATCTAACACATTGCATCTCTCTCCCTGGAGCTTCAAACTGTCCTGTGTACCTTTTAACCACCTTCCAATAATTCTACAAATTGACCTAGGTCAAAAAGGAAAGTCACAGTTTCAAGTGAGAAAAAAAGAAAAAACAACTCAAAATGAAAAACCCAGACAAGAGTAGCCACTGCATCTTCTACTGAAAGATCTCACAGAGATCAACACCCATGCGAATGATGACATCTATAGAATCAAGCAACTTCATAGGAGAAAAACAAACGAACAAACAAAAACAGCCCCTCAAAACAAGGTTTTGCACCAGTCAGTATTCACTGCAGGGCATAAGAAAACCAGACTTCTAGGAGGAAGAACTGGGGATGGGCTTAAAAGTGCTACTGAAGCATCGTCAGACAGCAGAACTGAACAGCAAAGTATCTGGAATGTGAGACATCCAGAGCTAGCTGCGGACCGGGCTAAATGTGTTGTGCTTTTCCTCTTTCAAAGAAAATCTCAAGATTTAAATGTTATTTAAAAGCAACTCACTGAAAGCAGGAGGGAGGGTCACCACTGCTGGTTATTTGTATTCACTGATCCTCCACAGTGCGCTCAATGCCCATGAAAGCATTCTCTGTTTTTTCCACAATGTGGCTCCTTCTTTAACCTGACTCTTCTCCCAGGAGGGCAACAGCCTTTTCTATTCGAATGTGCAAGTCACACGCACAAGTGGGAGCACCCATTTGGAGCACACATTCCGGTTGTTTCCCAGTTCCACGCAGAGCCTCATTCAGCACAGCTGGTTCGGATCAGCCCGGTTTTGCTCTGGCCCAGGTGGGAGGTGGTGGGGCAGGGGCGGTGGGTTTCTGCCACAAGCCCTCACCCCGTGCATCACCGCAGCCACCAGCCCAGCTGCTCAGACATGCCTGTGCCTCTGAGCTCCAGCTGTGTATGATTAACTTTGGCACTCAAAGTTTTGTTTTCATTGAGAATCATGAACTGACAAAACAGTTTTCACTTGAAATCAAGAACCTTATTTCATGGGGTGTTTTTTGCAAAGATTACAGATTATGGCAAGATGCAGTGCTGCACCTCTGCAGCACTGCAGTGTATTATTTAAAAAATCCATGAGGGAAATCTATGAGCATCCTGAAATTAGTGGACAGACTTCAGTAAA